AAATAATAAAACTAATTTAAATATCTCTTTATTAAATAAAACTAAGTTTATTATTATCGCTAAGATTAATATAATAACTTATTATTAACTAACTTATAAAAAAGAAAATAAACTATTTATATTAATAATAAATAAGATTTATAATATATTATCTATATTATATATATCTTCCTCTATTTAAATATCTTATAAATCTTATATATTAATTAATAAATTATATCTCTATAATTTAGAAAAGAAATATAAGAAATATTATAATTCTAATTATTCTATTTAAATTAATAGCGCTAATATAATTAGTTCTAAGAAGATAAAATATAAATTATCTTCGAAGTACTACGACTATCTAGATATTTTTAATAAAATTAAAATAAATATACTTTTCTTATATTATTTTTATAATTATAAATTAAAATTTAATAATAACTTCGATAAAACGAAACTTTCGAAAAGTAGAATCTATTTAATATTAGAATATAAATTAAAATAGATAAAGAAGTATCTAAACGAATATTTAAAGAAGGGATTTATAATACTAAACTATATACTATTTATCTTATCTATTTTATTTATAAAAAAATTAAGTAAAAAGTTATATTTTTATATAAATTACCGAAAGCTAAACGCTATTATTAAAAGAAATTAATATCTAATCTTACTAATAGATAAGAATTTAGTAAGAATTTAAAGATATAAATATCTTACTTAATTAAATATTATAATAGCGTTTAATAAACTATATATATACCTCGATAGCGAGAATTTTACTAGTTTTAATATCTTTCTTAAAGTATATAAGTATTAGATTCTCTTCTTCGAATTAATTAACGACTTAGCTATATATTAATAATATATAAAGAATATTCTATTTAAGTATATAAATAATTTCTACTAAATCTATTTTAATAATATATTTACTTATAATAAGATAAAAAAATATATAATAATAAGATAAAAAAGAAATACATTTAATACGTTAGATAAATTTTTTAGAAATTAAAAAGTATTAATCTTAAGATAGATATTTTTGAATATAAATTCTATATCTAGAAAATTATATCTTTAGATTTATTAATATCTATAGATAGGTTATAAATAGATTCTATTAAAATCTAGATTATTATTAAATAAATTATATCTATTAATCTTAAGAGATATAGATCTTTATTAATTTTTATAATTTTTATTAATAATTTATTAGAGATTTCTTTAAGATAGTTAAATTTATAGTAAAATTTATAATAACGAAGAGTATATTTAATTAGTTTCTAATATATTAAGAGGCTTTCTATTTTCTGAAAGTTATTATTACTAAAGCTTTAATTCTACGTTATTTTAATAGAATAAAGAAAATTATTTTAGAGACTAACTCTTTCGACTATATTAATAAAGATATTCTTTCTTAATATAATAATAAGAAAAATTATTATTCGATAATCTTCTATAGTAAAAACCTAATTTTAATTAAGTATAATTATTAAATCTAAAATAATAAACTATTAGTAATTACTCGTTATTTAGAATATTAGTATTTTAAATTAAAATATATAAATATTCTTATTAGAATCTTTATCGATTATAAAAAATTAATATATTTTATTAAGAGAAGAAATCTTAGTTAACGCTAGATTTAATATTTAAATATATTATTAGAATTTAATATAAAGATTATTTATCGATCTAGATTTTAGAATATTAAGATTAATATACTTATATAAATAACTAGATATAAATTAACTAATTTCGAAAACGAATAATTACGTTAATAATATTAAATAATTCTTATCTCTAATCGATTAAAATTAAATAGCGAATATATTAATATATATATAATTAATAATTTTATCTATTATAAGATAGTAAGAATTAATAAGAAAGATAAGTATTATATAAAAATTCGTAATACTATTATCGAAAATAAGAATAGATTTTAAGAAATTACTTTTAATAAATACTCTATATAGAATAAGATACTTTTTTATAAGAATCTTTTATAAGTATTCGATAATATATATATTAATATTATTTAAGAGATATATAATTAATCGTTTTACGGCTATTTCGAGATAGTATATATCTATAAATTACTTAAAAGAGAATATTATTAATAAGAAATAATAATAATAATAGCTATTTATATTTAAAATTATTCTATCTATTAAAGATCTAAGATACTTCGTAATCGAGAATATAGCTTATTTTATTCTCTATTACTTCTATAAAAATTATAATAAGATATATAGATTAACTTTATTATAAATTTACTTATATTTAATAGCTATAATACTAATTAAGTAGTAATTAATTTTTTTATTAAGAAATATTATTATATAATCTACTTTAATATTAATAAAGATAATATCGCTAAAAGAATAATTAATTTATTATTTAAGAAAGTATTTCGCTTATACGATCTATCGACTTTAATAATATTAAATTAAGATTTTTAATTTATAGCTATTATATAAAAATCTTTTTATAAAAGATTAAATATTATAATTAAGCTATTAATAGTCTTTTACTCTAAAATCGATAAATAAATTAAGTAAATAAATTAGAATATAAAGGATTATTTTTAAATATATTATAATTATATATAGAACGATTAAGTAAGATAGCTATTTATTATTAATTTATTAATAATAATACTATTTTATTAACTATCGATATTTTATCTTTTCTCGCGAATAAGAGATTTTATTCTTAAATAACTTTTAACTTGAATATTATCGACTATAAGATTATATATAAATATCTTAATACTACTTAAATAGAGAATATTATAAATTATATAAAATAGAGTTTTAAGTATATTAGAAGTAATATAAATTACGTTTAGAAGATTATAATTATATAAGTAAATAAATATTAATAAAAAATTATCTTTTAAATAGACGATAAGATCTTTTTAAATAATAAGAATATTATCTTTAATCGCTCTTTTTATAAATTAGATTATAAAAAACTTAATCTATTTAAAATTATAGATTTTATTAAAACTTTATATCGTTTAAAACTTTTATTAAATATAAAGATCTATAAGATCTTTTACTTTAATTTCTTAAATCTCGTAATAAATAACTCTTTATTAAAATAGATAAATCTTTTATCTAAATAAGTTACTATTAATAATTAAATCGAATAAATTATTAAAGAAATATTTATCTTTAAGTTAATTAATAATTATTTTAAGTATAAAGTTAAGTAGAAAAGTCTCTATAATAACTCTATTTAATATAATATAAATAATAATAAATTCGAAAATTACTAAGATTTAATAGATAACTTCTATAAACGTTATTTTAAAATATCTTATCTATATTAGTTAATTTATAAAATACTAGAACTATCTTAAATACCTTATTTTTAATCAAATTAAAATCGTTCGATATCTTCGCAATATTCTTATTTTTTTTCAGAAGCCGAGAATCGATCTCTTAGACTTATATTAATTATAAATTATATTATATAAAACCTCTTATATAAGATTTTCTTACTAATAAATATCTAAGTATCTTTCGAAGCTATAGTACGTTATCTATAGACTTTTATTATTATTATTAATAGTCTTTATTAATAGTCTTTACTAATATTAATTATATAGTATTTTAGAAAGAAATCTATTTAATATTAAATTAGAGTTTTTAATATCTATAGCTCGATTTAATTTGAGAGCCCTCGATTAATTATATCGTATTATTCTATCGATATTTTATTCGCTTAGATATAAATTCGAAAATTACTACTATTTACTTCTATATTAATAAATATTATTTTTATTATATTATATTAATTTTCTTTTAATTAAGCTTTCTATATATATCTACGCTTTAATTAGCGATATCGCTATAGCGTAAATATAAAGAATTACTATCGTTTCTAATATCTCTTATAAAGAAAAATACGATATTAAGATTCTCGAATACGATTATTTCTTTATTACTTTTATTATTTTTTAGACGTTAAGTATATATATATATATATTTTTCTATCTTTTTACTTATTAATTATAAAATATAATTTTATAAAGAGAAGAAAATAGTATTACGAGTATATTTTATATTCTTAATATATTACTTAGCTCTCTAATCTATTCGAGCCTAGCGTATCTTAGTAGATATATTTATCTATTATTTAATATCTTTCTTCTTTCTATATAGTTCGATATACTAATTATCTTATTTAATATATCTATATTAATATTATATCTATATTAATTCTAATAAAAACGAACTTACTTTATTAAGAAGCTAGAGATTATAATCTCGCTACTATTAAATATTATAATAATATTAAATAGTCTAATAAAAGAATCGATATTAATAATATTATATAAAGACTTATAGAATTATAAATACTAATATAAAAGCGTATTTAATATTAAGATAGATAGAGTTTTAGAGAAGAAGTAGTTAATTAATATAAAAGCGAAATAACTTAATAGATATCTATTAAATAATCTTAAGTATTATTACTATATTATTAGAAAATAATATAACTATATTATAATTTAATATATAATATAAAAGATTATAATTATTCTATATATTTATAGAATAGATTCATGTAGTGTTAAGTCTACGCTAGTTAGCTCTAGCCCTAAGGCGAGGTAAGGCCTTAGCGTACCGTGACAGACTTACTGCGTAGGGTCTTTCTGAGACTAGATCTTAGGCTAATTCATCATTCTTAATACCCACACCAAACATACCTAATGCCCCCTTTCTCGAGCTTTAAACATCTCAATGTCAGGCTTCAAGTTTCTTTTGGTTAAAGGGCTCGTCCCTCAACGTCTTAACCTTTTGGGTTTATTTTACGCAGGAAAACAGGCAGCATTGAAGTTAGCAGCGAACGAGAATTTAACCCCTCATCAAATTCTCATCAGGTCCACTCTTTCTATTTCCATTTAAGAAGGCGCATTAACATTTGATAGAGTCGATGCTCACCCGTGGACTTATCGGACAAACCAGAGCGGTCTCGTTCGGGATAAGCTGCATTTCACCATGGACATCAAAGATGCGGCAATGATATCCAACAATACACATCTCACAGTCCATGCGTACCTTACAACGAAGTCAAATACTGATGAAGTGACCAATATGTGGGACGTGGACGTGGTGGCTCCTAAGAAAACCGCAGATAATGATTTGAAGATAGAGAAGGACGAATACTTTGAAAAGCGGAAACAGAAGCATGTGAACAACTGGAACATGGCAAACCTGCAAGAATTTGACGAACCTACAGAGTTGAGTAGAGTCCATCTCGGAGACAATTTCATCACGGTCCTGCCACCGGATTATGATCCCAAAGTGAAAACTACGCAAGAGGCAGTAGGAGAAGAAATGCGAGTAAGGAAAGCGTTGGAAGAGAAAGGACAAAAATTGCTCGGAGAAATATGACAGAGATTGACCACTTTCTACTTATTGGCACTAGAATCAACCGCACCTCGTCGTTGTGGTCTGGTTTCACATTTATTCTCTTGCGCTGGCCGTATTCTCTAAGACTACGGTACTACGAAACCGTCCAAGATGTCCGACGAATCTGATGCGTCCGAGTTCCTACCCAGAAGTCTAGAGTCGCCTAAACTTCCCGAACGTACGAGCTCACACCCGCTAACGTTCGTACCTACACCCCTCTCGATAAGATCTATTCCACCCTATCCCCCGCACGCCAATTGCGTAGCCTTTAACCCTCTTCTTACTTACGCGTCATTCACTATGAATCCAGTGTAGCGAGATACTCCAGGCAGCATCGTAACATTCGACGCATCTATTAGGTGTAAATAGAGTTCGTTCGAGCAAGAGGTCGCTGATCTAACGCTTCGAAAGCCTACCCTATTCAGATCTACTATAGACGATTATAGTTTAAATGCGTTCGCCAGTTATAATCGAACCTCTAAATAGTAAATTCGAGCTACTATAGTAACTTATAAATTATATCTCTATAAATAGTAATTTATAAATATATATCTCTATTAATAATACCTTATAGATTTATATCTTACGAGTTTAGATTTATAAATTAAATTTATAATCTATTTTTTTAATTAAAGATATCGAGTAAATTTAATAAGCGAACTTTAATAAGCGATATTTAAACTTCTTATTTTTAAATAATTATAAGATTAAATCTTATAATTCTTTTAACGTTAGAAAGCGTAAACTATACTTTATAATTTTAAAAAAAAATTAAAATTTTAATAGAGAATAAAAAAGTTATCTTATTTATAAATAATATATATTTATTTTTTTAATAAGAGAGCTTAAGAAGGCTAGCGAGCTAACTTAGATAGTCTAATTAAAAGACGTAATAACCTCGAATTTATAATTAGCTATATATATAAATTTAAGATTTTTTAACTTAACTCTATCTTATTCTTTTATATATATTAATTAAGATATAAAAATATAAGATAAAATCTAAATTTATAAGAATCTTATAGTTTAGAATATAAATATATTATTCGCTAGTAGTATAAATAAATTCTAATAGTTTATATTTTATATTTTCTAGTTTAATTATAATAGTTTCTATTAACTTAATAAGACGAGATAAAAAGAAACGTATAAGAAGAAGTCGCGGAGATTAAATTATAGCTATAGTAATAAAAAAGTAATTTAAAAGATCTTATAAGATAAAGAAGAAGAATATTAAGTAAGTAAAAGATTAAGTATTAATACTTAAAAGATATAATTTAAAGTCTTATATAAATTAACTTTATATAGTATAGATTATCTAGCTTATTAAGATATTAAAAAAAGCTTTATTTATAGAGAATCTATATCTTCTTCTATCTACTACGAATAAACTTTAATTTCTATTCTATAAAAATCTATTTATATCTCTTTAAGTGTTAAGATAAATCGTAATCTTATTATTAACTTTAAATTATTATCTTCTTAATAAGTTATAAAGTCTTCTATAAATAGAATTAATTTTTTATACTTAAGTTTATTCTTATTATATTCTTATTTTTTATATTTATTAATTCTTATATTTAAATATAAACTTATAGAATTTAATTTATTTATAGAAAGTTGATTATTAATCTAGATTTATTTTAAAAGAAATTATTTATTATTATAATATTAAATACTTAGATTTTTAAAAAAACTCTTAATTTTAAAAGCTTATTCTATAGAAATATACTTTTAAATATATTTAAAACTTTAATAAAGTTAGTTACGTCTAGACTAGTCGAGATTAAAATATTAATATTAATATTTTATTTTATACGAGTAAAAGCCTATAAATTAAATTTATAATTTTTTTTTTAAATTAGAGCTATCGAGTAAATTTAATAAGCTATTATAAGTAATCTTTAATAAGCGATATTTGAATTTCTAATCTTTAAATATTTATAAGATTAAATTTAATAATTCTTTTTTATTTAAAAGCGTAAATCTTCTATAATTTAAAAAAAATTAAAATATTTTAATAGTAAATAAAAAAGTTATTCTAAAATTAAATAATATAGATTTATTTTAAATTAGAGCTATTGGTAATTTTAGTAAGCGAACTTTAATAAACGATATTTAAGCTTCTTACTTTTTAATAATTATAAGATTAAATTTTAAAATTCTTCTAGTATGAAAAAGCGTAAAATACGCTCTATTAATATATATAATAGAATAAGATAGAGCTAAGCTAAAAAATCTTAAATTTATATATATAGTTAATTATAAATTCGAGATTATTACGTTTTTTAAATTAGACTATCTAAGTTAGCTCTCTAGCCTTTTTAAGACTCTCTTATTAAAAAAAAAATTTACGTTATTTATAAATAAAATAACTTTTTATATCTTCTATTAAAATTTTAAGTTTTTTTTTTAATTATAAAGTATAGCTTACGCTTCTTTAACGTCGTAAGAATTATAAAATTTAATCTTATAATTATTAATAGATAAGAATTTTAAATATCGTCTATTAAAGATTACTTATTAAATTTATTAATAGCTCTAATTTAAATAGAGATATATATTATTTAATTTTAGAATAACTTTTTTATTTTCTATTAAAATTTATTAATTCTTTTTTTTAATTATAATTTAAATATTTAAATATTTAATTAAATTAGAAAATTTAAAATTTAGTCTTATATTTATTTAAAGGAAAGGAATTTAAATATCGTTTATTTGAAGTTCGCTTACTTAATCTACTCGATAGCTCTAATTTAAAAAAATAATATTATAAATTTAATTTATAGGCCTAAACTCGTAATTTAATAAAGAAATAATAAAATCTTAATAGAAAATAAAAAAATTATTTTATTTATAAAGAATATATATTTATTTTTTAATAAGATATCTCGAGAGAGATAGCGGGCTAACTTTAGTCGATTTAATTTAAGAGTATAACGAACTCAAATCTATAATTAATTATATATATAAATTTATATTTTTTAAATTAACTCTATCTTATTCTTTTATATATATTAATAATTTATTATATAATATATTCTCGAAACTTATAACTATTTCTTATTAAAAAAGAGACTTATAAATTCTAAATAAGAGAATTCTAAATCGTTTAATTTATATACGCTTAACGAAGTCTTTATAAATAAGCTTAAATAAGCGATCTTTTCGAATTTAAATTATAGATTTATTTATAAAAATATATCTTTATAATTTTATAGTATTATATAATTCTAATACTCTAATTTAAAATTATTTTCAAAAGTTAAAATCTATTTAAGTTCTTTTATAAAGTATAATTTAAGATTAATATTATAATTATAACGAGAGTAAAGTTATAACGTTTTATAATATACTTTAAAAAGACTAAAGCGATTATTAGATAAAGTATTTAAATAAACTCTTTTAGTTAATACTTACTTATTAATATATAGCTATATATACTAATTTTTTAAAGATAAATAAGAAAAAGCTATTAAATTGAAAAAATTAAAGAGAAATTAAAGTATCTAAAATATAAATATAATAGAAAAGTTCTATATATAATAAGATAGTAAAGAAAAGAGAAGTAAAAGATTTTATTATAATTTAATAAGATTAAGTTAAAATTTTTTTATAAGTATATAATATCTATATAGTAACTCGTAATTACTCTTTATAATCTAAGTAGAAGTATATATAATTAATAAATTAATTAATTAATCTAGCGATCTTAAAGTATTAATAAATTAGAGAGATTATTACTTTATTATAAAAAGAATATTTAAAAGTATTAAGCTCTTATATAAGAAATAAGATTTCTATTTTTTTTATTTTTTTTAATAATAATTTGAAAGAGTTATAAATTAATAATAAGAAATAATTTTTAAATGATAATTATATATAATAAAGATTTATTAACTTTCTATTAAATTATATCGAAATTTAGTAAATTAGAAGTTAAAAGTTATTTAACTATATAAAGATATTAATTAGAGATAAAATAAACTATATATTTAATATAATAATACTTTTAATCTTTAATAACGTATATAAATCTTTATATTAAGAATTAATAAATATTTAATTTATCTATTTAGCTTTATTTAAATCTTTATTAATATTTAATTATTATTTAAATTATATTAATTAAGTAAGATAAACTTTTAACGCTTATAATATATCTAAAAAATAATAAAATAAAAAATAATCTTTTTAGAGAATATAAGGTTAATATTATTTATATTTTATAAGAGAGTTAAAATCGAAAATTTTAAAGTCTTTAATAAAAAGATATAAATAAATTATTATTATTATATAGAAATAATCATTTCGATTTAAAGAATAAAAAGTTTAAAAAATTTAAATTTAAATCTAAATATGATAATGTTAAGTTTTAATTAAGAAGTATTTAATAAAAAAATATAAGCTATATATAAATAACTTAATAAGAAAAGAGAAACTCTTATTAAAAACTTTATAATAAAAATAGAAATAGAACTAGTATTTATTTTATTATTAATTTATAAAGATTAAATAGTTTTAAATACGCTACGTAACGAAGAAAAGTAGAGCGAGATTTAGAATATCTAATATCATCTTATTTCAAATTAAGATTTTAACGAGATAAATTTAAGTCGAGATAAATTTTTCTTAATAATATAATAAGAATATCTTAATATTTTTATTAACCGTTTAATTAAATTAATTTAAAAAATTACTCTTATAACGCTTTTAAAATACTTCTATAATATCTTTTAAATATAATCTTATATATCTTCTAATTTATCTTTCTAAATATTTATATCTTATATTTTAAATAAAAGTCTTTAATTTAAAATATAATATAATATTTTATACTCTATTTTATCTACGCTATATCAGAAAGTAAAAAACCTCTATAAGATTTCGAAGGGGAGTCGAGATCGAGATAGAATTTCGAATTGAGATTTCGAGTTTTCTTAAAATCCTAATCTTATTTTAAATTGAAGATAAGATTTTAA